TGCAATTATATTTCAAATTGATGAGTTTGAATGAAAGATTGGTTTATGTTTAATTTTGATTCTCTTTCCCCACAAAAAATTTGTGTTCTTGCTAGATCATTATTTATTTTTATATATTCAAGATCAGATATGATCAAATCACATGAAATATCTAATATATATCTACTTAGACTCTATAATTTTTAATTTATCAAGTTGTATTAGTTTGTACATATAAAAATAATACATGAAGTAGCAATTTTGTTTTAAAAAAAAATAAATGTGTCTGGTTTTAATACTCCATACCAAAATTTCTTCCAATTTAAATAACTCAGGCTAAGAACAAAAGAGTATTCAAATGTATAAAAAAAAAACAATGGAAGATAATCATTCTTTTTCATGATATTTGTCTTCATCTAGTATATGTTTATTTCATTTATATCAAATGAAAAGCTTTTTTGATCTAGATGTCTCGTAGCTTCTGTTGAGGTATATTCTTGTTAAAGAATATCTTTGGTATTAGCTCAATATAGCTAAAAATGTCGCCTAGTTGGGATATTTAATCTCCGAATCTTCTAATATCAAGCACCTTTTGACATTTATCAATATACTCTTTTGTGTGTTTAGGCCGTGTGTGTAACCTTGCACATGAATGAATCGCATTATAATGGGACTTCTTGTGTTTGTCTCTTATACCATCTGGATGTGGCAATTTTAAGTGTCTCGGTCTAACATTTTCTCACAAATTTTTACTTTGATTCTATGATACTTCCTATTTAATCTATCCCTTGTGTATTGATACGTTTCTTTTAAAGATGTGTTTTGGTCATCTTTACTGATAGTTATTACTCGTTATATTCCTTCAGTAAGTGTGATTAGCAATTCAAGCAAAGATAAACAAACATATGAAAACATCCAAGTTTAAATAATTTTGGTTGTCAATAATTGACTGCGGATCACTTTGTCCTTGCTTTTGAAGTAGTAAGAAAATCAGGGTTTGTTACAATTGTCATTCATACAGGTTCTTTTCCACTCTTTGTCTTGAAAGATCTCAAGATGCAACGTGAGAAGCATTGATTGCCGCAAAAGAAGAGATATATTATTTGTAATAGTGACATATGCCAAGACAAAACAATTTGCACTGTCATGGCATTAAAATTGATTTTGATTTTAAACTTCATTGGCATGCTTGTTGTATTAATTTGTAATGTCATAGTACCGTAAGTAGTTGATTTTTGTCAATATGAGTATAGGCACTCTTGCTAAGAATTTCCAGCTCTGGAAGAACAATAAGCGATGAATCTTGAGCAAATTGCCTGCAGAGGAGTATTATACTCCAGCTTTCCATGAAAAAGTGAATTCAAATTCATAAACAAGGGGATCTTGATTCTTTTTTGTGAAAAATCTTCTGTCTACCACCGTGGCAGACCAAATTAAAAAGCAGATACTCAAACAAAAGAACAGGCATAATTGAAACTTTTTAGCTTTTTATGTTCATGTTTTTAGCTTTTCTCTAGCTTTTATGTTTCTTTTACTCGAGGACTCTAAATTCTCACACTCCTCCTATACACCTCTTTAATCTATGCAGACAGGAGCAAACGCATCGTGTGATGCCTTAGATCAAATGTGATGCCGAGATAACCCTTCTGTAGGAAAGTCACCAATGAAATTCTTGAATACATGTCGGTGTCGGAAGGGACGATGGAGCCTTGATCAAAAGATAATGATAATTACGTGCAGAAAGGAGTCGGATTTCTCAACGGATCGAAAGAGCTCTTTTGGCTTCTCATGATAGAAGCAATGACAAGTAGCCGGTGTGACGTTGTTCACAACTTTTGCCAAATTTGACCTGAATTTTGGATCGAATGCCCTCCACAAATCTGCCGCGGGTCTCATGCGTACGCATCGATGGTTCTCCGAATGCCTGTCGTTATCGACTTCAATTCGTTACCGAACTACCTTCGTTCTTGCTTTAGAAGTCAATGGAAGAGCTTTTAGATTAATGCATGTGGATGCAAAGACGAAGACAAGGGGTGTCTCTAGATACTGTCCGATCAACTTTACAGTTTGTAAAGGGTGTTTCCACCTAGCAAACAAATGTGTATGTCAAGCTGTTTCCAAACATAAAAGCTCGAGGTAAATTTTGTTTTCCAACTATCTGCAAGAAGAATCATTTTCTTATAAATGTCATTGGAATATATGAATATCGGTACAAGTATATACATCTATGTGGATATCACTTGGAAATTTCGGTCTTTTAAATATAACATATAATATCTACTGCATTTTTTCAAAGTTGCCCATTATCGGTACTTTTGTAATCTTCTCATTAGTGAGTCCATATAAGTTTATCTGTGAGATCTACGCAGATGTGGATATAATATATCCCTCAAAGTTACGCTCTAAGTCCTAAAATAAACATGTTAGTATTGGAGTAAAGAAATGACTTTTTTTGAGAGAGAAAAAATGAAGATGTGGCTATAAGCCACACATTATAGTTGGAGAGACAGCAAGGTTGCAAGGTTGGGTTCTCCGCAAGGTTGCAACGAGAGATAGGATGAGATAAGTATACCGAAAAGCTTTGCGTGTGGAAGACTAAGCACTGCTTTGCAAAGTAAGAGCTAACAGAACTTCCGTTACTAAGCTTTGCTAATCTGTGGACTAAGAATATTTTTTCTCTTTGTTATAGGTTTCTTGAATGAGTCGATTGTTATTACGTGAAAATATATCTGAACCATTGAACATATGCTAAGATGATTTTTATTCTAAAAACATCATGTACATTGTAAGGAGTTAATTCAAATTTGACTTAACTCAGGTTAGCCTAACTCCACTTAGTGAAGTTGGTTAAACTATCACTATATAAAAGAGTACACCAAAGCTATTGGTAGCACAAATTAAAACATAGTGTGTTGACTTAGACATTGTTGTCTAGTAACATGACTACGGGGTGAAAGAGTGTAACAAGAAAAAGGTAGATGAGTCAAGGTGTTGGACTCCTCCTATTAACATTAGGAGTCCAACAAACGGTAAGAAATACTACTACAAAGATGTTTAAATAGCTGCAAGTCTACTAGTACGAGTAGGGTTGAACTGGTCAGGTTAAGTGCCTTGAATATAGTCTTGTTGGTGGAAAAAACAGCTAAGAAGATGTGGAAAAAATCTCCTCAAGAATGATCTTATTAGTAGGAATATATATATATATATATATATATATATATATATGACCATAATGACTGAGGTGACATAAGCATAAGGCATCGAGACTGCAGTAAGACGAAGACTTTCACAAGCATGAGGTGACAAAAACTGAGATGGTAAGGTTAGTTTTCAAGGAAATTTGGCTAATTCAAAAAGATCAGGGATTCGAACCGAGAATGAAGTGAAGTGTGAAAAGATGTTTCTGGCGATTACGTTACAAGACTTTTGTTCTATTTGTTTCAACCAAAAGAAACCTTGCATGTGAATTACATGTTACTTTCAAGTTTCAAATCTGAAAATGGTTAGTATTGAGTAAGATTTGGTTGTTTCAAAAAACAACAAGGGTATATTTACTCATTACAAGATCTCTTTTCCAAAAAACCTGATATTCTTATAGGGAGAATGTAATTTAACTAGGTCAACTTAACTAATATAATGAAAATAATTAAGTAAATGAAAACTGTAAAAACATAAATGAATATTTGTAACAATATAATTCTTGAATAAGATCAAATATCAATACAAGTAAATTTAATTATGATAATAGTTTACTTTTCCGAAAGTATATGTTGCGATAAAGTTTAAATTATAATAAATTTTTATAATAATTTTATTACACAATAATTGCAGCAAATATTTGATAAAAAATATTTCAAAAATGTATTTGATATCGTTTACCACATTTTCAAAATTTGAAATGAACATCTAAGAAATTAAAATCAAAAAATAATAATTATTTTTTTTTAAAAAATATAACATTGTTTCATAACATATGTCGTTGAAATAATTATTTTCATATAACGTATATTATTAATATATAATACTCACACACATATAAGGAACAATAATGTGTATATACACACATTTATTACAACTAAAATCTTTGTGCAAATCTCACTAATTTAAAACACAAACATCACATCATCAAGTCAAATTCACTTCATCATTTGAATAACTTTCAGTTTTTTGAGTTTTCACACGACCATATTCCAGCAAGAGTAAACACTAACCTAGTGTTCACTTGACTAGAGTTAATTTTAATCCGCCATTAACTACTAAGAATAGAAATTCACATGAAAATAATTTGTAATCAGTAATTTGGTGTAGTCATTGTTTGCTAAGTACAAACGCGATCTGCTTAGAGCTAAGCCTCAATACAAGCAAGGACTCCTCAACCTTGTACCAATAAAAGAGAGTACTTTTTTCGACGAAAATAGCTTGACAAAATGATTGCTGGGATGATGAACCTCTTTGCAATTTATTCCTTGTTTCTTTGATTGCCATGGCGTATCGATGTAGTCGTGGTTGTATAGGTTCAGCACGAGCCAAGTTAGACAGTGAGCAAGAGATTGGTCGGTGCAAGATCAAGTGAAGAGTATTTCCTTCTTGATGTCGCGTACCTGTGAAGATTCAGTACTACCTGGTGTTTGGTGAACAATTATTCTTCTGCTGCCCCCAAATTCATAACCGCTCGGTGTTGTTCTTGTTGTTGTAGGAATCACCTCGTTATCACATCAACATATCAGTTCAATTTTCTTATTGACTTTTCTTAGTGAGATAAACATAATGAGTTGAAGTGCGTACTTCCGCAGTGAATTCGCTACGAGTGAAGTTGGCGGAAAAGTCAAGTGCACTGTAATTTCTCCATGACGTTCTCTGAACAGTTTTTCTAGAAAAATCTGGAAGATCCGATTGGGTCCGGCCAACGTCAAACCCAAGCTCCTGGCTTGATCTCAATGGAGAAGTTCAAGGCCCGTGGCATCCCACAAAATGCATCAGATGTCGAAGTGCTTATTTTCATGATCGAAATATAGAAGGTCGAGTACTCTGCGCTTTGAAGATGTGACAGTGACATGTCTTGATCGCTTCTGATACTTGACTCCGGTCGTTCGATATCAAAGTCTATGCATCCCTCGACCGATCCGGTGTCCTGAAAACACTTCAAACCATAATCCCATACATCTAAGTATATACTTGCGTTACTGCTTCGAAGAACGGCAACATTTGTATGCATCTCGGCGATTTTTTGCGGTCGTTCCGACCAATTCTCCCAAATTACGGCAGAGGAGTCATCAAGTGCTCGTGTTCTCGACGCTGTGATAGCCAAACAAGACCATCACGTGATCGAACGAAACTCAGCATCCAGCTACTGTTCCAAGTACGACAATGAATCTTAGTGAGTATTGAGTCAAAGTGGACCATCTGAAGGTCACTCCTTCGATCATGGCAGCGCGTATTCGTGCTGGGTTCTGCCTTCCTGCAAACGTGAACATTTGCGAGCATAATCCCCCACGTAGTCGGAAGGGCATTGAAGCAGGCAGGACGATAAAATATGCACAGATGAGGAGGATGACGAATGCACGCCCGAGATTCTTGCTGGACTTTTGACCTCATGATTACAGTCAAGTCAAAATATAGGGCTCGGAACAAGAAGCAAACGGATGATCCCTTCACGTTCCACCGCCCTTGCCCTTTCCCCCGCCCCTGCCCCGGGAAGTCGACATCGTTCGTGGGGTACCGCAGTCTGTCCCAGCCGCCATGGACCGAGTTCCGCAGTTCAGTTCAGGTCATCGTTTCCTGCTGGAAGCTGAAAGCATCTCGGCCGCTTCGAGTAAACGATGAAGCGCCCCGAGCTTCGTGCACGGCTCATTGAGGTTTTCAAGGATCCCACAGCCCAGCGAGATTGGATAGCGGATCGCATCCTTCCTTCTGTTACAAGCTGACACTAATGTCTGAATGCATCACTCTGCAAACTGAAGGAGCGATTAGTCCGACGTGAGTTGCCTCCTTGCCTTCTGTTTTTCTCTTTGACGACTATCAATTTGTGCTGGTCCTCCGTGAACGCATCGGGCAAGAAGGTGTGCAACTGATGGTGCACGGAAACCCCTGCCCAAAGTCGGTGGTGATAGGTTGCTTCTGTCAGGGTTTTGTCAGGGTTTTGGGTTTGGTCGCAACCTGATGGAAGGGTTTTGGTTCGCAGGTTCTGCTGAGTGCAAGTGAAGAAGGAAGAGCTTCCCAGGCTGCAATATTTTGAGGAGCAGTCTCATCGCTATGGACAGGGATTCGGATGAGGAGTGTACGAGCGATGCCGACGAGGAGGTAATCGTATCCCCCGTTGCTGGAGAGACCCTGGAATCCTTCTCCACCTATGAAATGAGCCGGTCCAAGTTCAAGTCTACGGTGGTGGTGCGCAAGTTTGAATCGAAAGGGCTGTCCTTCCAGCTCTGGCCCGCTGCAAATGCTGTATGCTGGTTTCTTGAGAATGAGTTCGGAGAGTCTGGAATGTGCCTTCCTGTTACTGAAACAGGATCGTCTTCCCCTGCTTCAGTCGTGCACGAAGAGCAATCGTCAGACCAGCGTCCGTCGAGGGATTCGACCCATCCGCTTGGAGCACCAGAGGAGAGCTCGAGCAAATCCTGTTCAGGAAATTACCACCGCCCATCAGAGAACAGAAGGATGAAAGTGCTCGAACTCGGATCGGGAACGGGGTTGGTGGGGATTGTGGCAGCGTGCTTAGGAGCTCATGTGGTTCTGACTGACTTGCCTCACGTAATTCCCAACGCTGTGCATAATATAGAGCGGAACCGAAGTTGCTATTTAGCTGCTGGAGGACTTATGGAGCATCAAGTTCTTAGATGGGGTGTGGAGGAAGATGTGAAACAACTCGGCGACCTCTCTTCTTTCGATCTCATTGTAGCCTCGGATGTGGTTTACTATGACACTCTGTTCAAACCTCTTCTTCAAACCCTGAAGTGGCTCGTGGGAGCATCTGCAGATGGGGCCATTTTTCCTGACAAACGTAAGAATGAGCAGCAGAGCAAGTGCGTGGAGCACGGGGAAAAGGGTGTTTCACAGGTTCGTGTGTCAGATCCACCCACATCTGCTACTACCACGCCTTTTGTCCGCGGGCCTGAGAAACACGAAATTGACCCTGCTGCGGCTCATAAGTGGGCCTCTTTTTCTGCAAGGGCTGAGAAAAGGAGTAACGAAACTAATCATGTTAGCAAGAAGAAGATGCAGACTCCTGTGATCTACCTCGGACACTTGAGAAGATGGAAAAAAGATGCGCAGTTCTTCAAGCAGGCTTCCAAGGTCTTCGACGTGCAAGTGGCTCATCGGCACCCTCCGCAGGATAATGCTCGAGTCGGTCCCATCATATATCGATTGCAAGTAAAACCAAATTTCTTCATAGACTCTGGTATTCCTTGAGTGGCCAATACCCCTGTTTCGTTCATTCTCTCCAAAATGCTCTCTTCTCGGAAGTACAGATTTGTGACAAGCCTCTCCCAGTTTTCATCACGAGGATGATTATGGGTTTCTACTTTTTGCCGCATTCTGGGATATGCTGAGTTACCACCATCAGATAGTTGAGGAGAGGTTGTGTTACAAGCCCAAACCTCCGTATAGTAACGAGGTGTCAGCGCAGTGAATGTTTCGGTCTCAAAATCCCAGGCCTGCTAGACGTCAGACAGAGTCGGAAGTTGAGATGGGCACAACTCATCTGCCCTGTGCCTGCTGCCACGAACGACGACAAGATCGGTTTGATTGTATCGCTAGTCAAGGCACTTCATTTGGTGGACTGGTTCGAACTAGTTCTGATTAGAACCGGTTGTTGTGGAATCGTAACCAGGTTTGATCCCGGGTTGATTTGAACGGTGTTGTCTTCTTTCGCTGTATTTCAGTCTAGGAATGCTTCGATGGTCGAACGGCATGACATTATGCATTTTCCCTCGTCCCTGCCAACAATTCTAAGGGGTGCAACCCGAAGTTGAAGGATGTCTTCTCCCCTTTTCTCTGAGATTCTGAGGAGTTGGTGCTGTCGAGGTACTTAACTGGATCAATGTCTCGCTTTAAAGCTCGTGTCCTGGAATTCTCTCTACGTCTGCCATCGTAGAGCCTCTCTCTGAGGGTTTAGCACACCCCGACCGGTTTTAGAACTTTTTGCCTCTAATTGACAGCTTGAGTTTTCTTGACATCTTGAGCTGAATGTGCAATTGTCCTTGAGAAACTCAATTGAGAAGGTGCAAAGGAGGTCCAAAACGCCCCGGGAGTCCATGCCAGAACCAGATCAAATCCGGCTGACACCCACAATGTCGAGTAGAGTGTCTACCCTGTATAAACACAGGAACTCTTTTCGTCGATTGATTGAATATATTGTACTGACCCAAAGCGAAGAGCAGACCGGTTTTTGGTTTATGAAGTGGAGGTTTAATAGAAAATAGTGTCGTTGTCTAACATGATGGAATATGGAAACTTGAGGATTGGATCACGAGGAAAAACTTAATCCCCTAAATGAAACTATATGAAAAGGTTGCATGGACTTAGTTGGAGACCACTAAGTAATGACTGTGATGATTTAAGAGATAAATCTATCTACAATATCTTACTAGATGATTCAAACCGAACACAAAGTATCTATAAAGTAAATTCGAAAAGATTCAATTTTAATTTTGTTTCTGTTAATGTCAGTTTCAATTAAGTGTTTTATTCTCAAAGGTTTTATTTTTAGTAATTAGTTCATTGATGTATCAATATCCTATCGTATGTATAGGAATTGACTGGTTTAGATTCGTTTTGATATTCGGGTGATGTAAAGTTAATCATTGAATTAAAGTATTCAATAAAAGAATATCAATAAACGTTGAATGCGAGAATTGGAAAATATATAGAGAGAATCACATACTAGAAAGTTTTTGTTTTGCTAAGGATATAAAAATTAATTGTTTTGTGTCTATTTTTCGCAAGATTGAAATTTTATAAATTTTGTAAAGATGTTGAGAGATAAAAAATCTATAATATTGAGCTTAGTTATATATTCAAATTAAATTCATTGAAGAGTTTGCAGATCAAGGTTTTCTAGCTGAACCTGTCACCATATTATTATGTTCGTTTGTGTGTGAGGATTGTGATTTTTGCTGGTTTTGGGAATTCAAATCCCTTAAGTGGTATCCGAGCATGGTAGTATCGATTTTGACTTCACAATTTTGTATCTTGCGTATCATCATATCATCTTGTGTAGCAATTTTGTCATCATGGCATATTCATAAGCGCTCATCCGATGAGCTAGAAAGTACAAATTTTCACATCAACGCACCAACAAAAATTTGTCACAACTAAGTATTTCGAGTTTCAATTCTTTGAATCTTTTGTTGAAAATGAGAATTTACATTGAGAAATGTGACAACTCTAGAAATTTTCGCATCTAGTGTCAGAAAATCTCACTGCTCCTCACTCAATAGACATTTCACAGGGTCATCTCTGATCTAATGCCATGGCCTCAAGATATTACCCAAAATCAAAGAGAGTAAATGTTTGAAACAGTTTTGGGTACAAAAAGTCTTCACATGTTTGATTAGATTATAGGTCTAATTGACAATTAAGATATACAAAGTAAGATGTTGAAGAAGCTTGAAGAGATATTTCAATCTCACGCTCTCTCAAACAAGATCTATCTGAAGTATAGTCTCTTTGTGTTCAATATGAATCAGGCAAAGTCATTGGAAATCAACTTAGACAAATTTCTGAAGATAACGATCAAGCTCGCAAATTTCGGCGACAAAGAAAAGCTCAGGAAATAAAATTAGTCAATCATTATTCTCAATTGACTTCCAGAGGCATAGAGGGAATTGAAATCGACAGTCAAGTACGGGAAGTTACTGATCACCCTAGATGAAGTAATAATCACATTCCAAAGATTTGTAAATCAGAGCAGACAATAAGAACTTCGATGACGGCGATAACCACATTGCTTGTGGCAAATAGCAGCGGAAGAACATCGATGGAAGCAATTCAAAATCAAACAACCACGACAAAAAATCTACAAAGATTAAAAAACCTGAATCCCAATCCGAACGTCGATAAAAAATACTTTTATTGCAACAAGATGAATCACATCAAGAAGAATTGTTACTCATGAATTAAGAAAACAAGGAAAATTGAGCTAGCACATCACAAGATCACCCAGATTCAACAAACTTTGGTGATGACTACAACCATAACAGAGTTCTCATGGCGTCATTAAATCTCAAGGCCTTGGACTGGGTTTGGAATTCTAGTTGCACCTATCATATAACACAGAACAAGCATCGGTTGTGGTATTACCAAATATTGGGCGAAGTGAAGATAATAATGAGTAACAATCATTCTTTTTTTGTTGTTGGTTTAGAATTTATGAACGTTAAGATGGTAGATTATTTTGTGAGAATTCTTAAAAAAGTTAGGATACCTATTGATATTCTTGATGACTTGGGTCATAGTAACAAGATAGAACAAAGCTCTATGTATATTGCATAAGGTATTATTGTTTTGAAGGGTTTCAAGATAGTTGGTATCTATTATCTCACAGGAGAGATTCTTCATGGAAATGAGTTAGTTGCCACAATCCAAATGACAGCAAAGCTACACTTTGGCACCGAATACTCTGCCATATAAGTGAAAAGGGTCTACAATTGATGAGCAACCAAAATTTGATGGGAAAGTACAAACTCAACAAACTTGATGTCTAGGAGTGTTGCATTTTGGAAAAACAACACAAGCACAAATTCCTCACTTGAAAACACACATCTACATAAATCATTGAATACATTGTAAAACTAGGGTTTAGAGAGAAATTCACTCGAAGATAGAAACATAACCTCTGAAAATGAGAAAAATCAACAATAGTTTTTATTTTCATTTATATATATCTCCCATCAACAAGTACAAGGAGATAAAATTTTATCCCCATTATACATCATATTTATAGCGGATGGATGACCTGACGGATAACTCTAACAAATACACAAAATGCTGACGTGGCGCTACCAACTAACACAATAACTAACATATTCAATCCTTATCTGACAAGTATACAGATCCGGATCGTTGACGTGATGGTGTCAACTAACACGCATACTCTCTCAATGTATTGACTGTTGCTCTTGAAGCGTATCTGACAGACAAAATTTAGATAGACAGCACGATCAATATTTGAATTGATGACATCAACAATCATTTCTATCGGTCATTGCGCACCTCATCGTTGATGAGTTCACATTGCACCACCGCAGGTTGGCATACAGTTTGTTCCCTTGGTCGCACCATGAATTCGACGTCTTGGAAAAGTACGAAGACATATTTCAAAAATTAAGCACTAATAGCTATGATGAGGCTTTCTCAGTTGATGACAATCGTGATTCTTATATGCATTATGTAGATGAGATTCCTAGACTCTACGATTGGATACCCTGTCGTGATTATATAATAGTACCATACTCAATACTTTTATCAAAAAGAGAACTTGTATGATCAATGGTAAGAAATTTGTTACAGTCTATGAGTTCTAGGATTTGAAATTTGAGTTGTTCGACAAAATTAATCATGTCAAAGTTTTCGTGACATAGGTCAAACAAACAAATTTTTGAGATGAGTTGGCAAAGACTCTCAAGCAAAAGAATGCAATGCAATGAAATTCTAAACTCCGTTGTACACTAAGCATACACATGCGCTGTGGAGTTAGGCAATATCTTGCTTGCAAGAGTATATGTACTTGTTTTAAAGATTGATCACAAGCTTTTCAAGAATTTCATTATTTTTTCTTGTGTGCTTTCATAAAACCATCGTAGCTTTAAAAATAAATTGTGTTCTCTATTTCTGGCAGAATCTGTTAAAACATTGCTGGATCAACACGGAAGATATAATCACCAAGAAAAAATATACACACAAGCATGTTGAAGAAACACATTCCCGCATTCGTCACCTTGATGCCAACAAGTTCGCATCGACTTTTCCGATAGTGTCAAAGAAAATCTAGAAAATATAATGAAAGATCACATAATGCATTCTTGCATCTGCAACGACAATGTGAAGTGACATACAAAACACAAACATGACAATGTACGACATTGAGCCGTTGAGTACAATTTTGAGTATGAAAGCGCCATCGAGAAGACTCCCTTTAATGACATGCAACCTAAGTTTGCTTTGATGACGAAGCTCAACAATTACATTCGTGACAAGCGCAATAATGATGAAAACACACTCTTATACAAATAAGGAGTTTTATTTGGGTGGAGGATGAAGCAAAAGGAATTTCTCATACTTTCACAAGGAAACCTGCTATGTGTTGGCCATTTTAGAGTGAAATGCAACATAGGAGAGTAACTTCTCGGGAGGAGCGAACACCATGAACAAGAAGCGCAACGAGCTTCATCCTTCCAAGCATGACAATCTCATGTTTTTGAGTCCAATACTGCTGTCCATGTTGCACCGAAAGCAAAATTAAAAAATGATTTCTCAATCTCTTCGGATATGGGTCGGGTATGGGATCCGATATATTGGATATATTACCTACCGGGTAAGAATCCATGCCCACGGATTGTGGATGCATTGGGTTCGGGTATGAATTTCAGCACGGCTCCATAGTAATTCCCCTTTGCGCATGGTCATAGCGCTTCGCTGATCGTTATTACGTTCTCACAAACCTCGAATGAGATGTAACAACGATCAGAGATTGTACAGTCTGTCATGACATGTCCTCATCTCATGACAGACTGTACAATGCAACGATGTGGTAATACGCATCGTTGGCTCAGAATCGTTGAATCACAAAGAGGTTTGGCTGTTTGTGTGGGCCTTGCTTAAGACCTGATGAGGTCAAGATTTCTCATCAACTCTGACTGGGGTTCATTCCTCGTCAATATCTATTAGGAGTAGAATTCGACCACACGGACATGGACGAACACTCAGGTCTCGTAGAGAATCCCCTTGCGTTTCCGGTATCACATACTGCAGTAAACTCTGGAGGTTGAAACCGTTCTACAGAGGGTCTCTCTGTCATGGGCAGTTGGTTGTTGGATTGAAGACGTGAGCGAGCATCCGCAACACTACATTACCGAATCAGATACTTCGGGAAAAATTTCGGAATAAGATAGGAAAGATAAAAAATTAAAGGCTGATCATTCCGAGAACATGACTTCGGAGCATTTGCAGGGTGTGACCTTCGACACATCATTTGCAGGGTGTGATCTTCGTTTCGCTGAAGAGCTCCTCGAGCCGCATGAGTTGGACCGAGCACAATGGATGATCCTCCGGGACGGATGAGTACGCTTCATTCATTCCTCTGTCGGCCGCTCCGATTTCTCGCCTCCCTCTCTCCCTCCCTCCCTCTGATGCTGCGACTACCTCGGGGATGTGGGACGATGTACATTTACTGCTGTATATACATTCCTTGCTAAGCGCTTTTACCGCGAGGTTCCTGAAAGCTTCCTCAGCACTACCTCGAGTGCCACAATTGCCTGCCTGCCAGCCTGCGTCCGCATCGTAGAACCGAATGTCGTCGGCAAAAAACTATCTCACGGACGTGAAAGCTGCGCGGATTCCTCCCTGAAATTTCACGCGAGTTCCACAAATATGGCAGTCAGGTATTCGGGACGGGGATATGGTGGGTGATGTACAGCTAGCGATGGGGCACTGGATATGTCAGCGGGGAAAGACCGGGTGAGATTCAGTGGTAGCGGCGGTGGCGGCCGAGGCGGAGTCCCCTGATTCTCCCGTTTTGCGATGCGAGCGGTCGCTGCCGAAGTCGATGGAGAACGAATCGGCATCGGCTTTCAGGCCCAGAGCTTGGGTGGGCCTGCGAACCAGCCGCTCGGTCATCTCGAGCTCGAGCTGCAGAGAGGCCGGCAGCTCGGTGGGAACCTTGACGCCCTCGATCATCCTGAACACGGTGCTCATGTCGGGGCGCTCGTCAGGATCTCGCTGCAAGCACAGCAGCGCGATGGTGATGAGCTCCTTGGCTTGGATCGAGCTGAAATTGCCTTCCAGCCTCGGATCCACCACGTCGATCTCCAGATGCACCATGACGCGCCGCATCGCATACGCAGGAAGGAAGAAGCGATCGTCCCCGAACGAGTGGTCCAGGTGCCGGCGCCCGGCCACCAGCTCCAGCAGCACGATTCCGAAGCTGTACACGTCCATCTTCGTGGTGGCGGCGCCGGCGTACACCTCGGGCGCCATGTACCCGAATGTGCCTCCGGACGCGATGGTGTGCGTCCTCGTCTGCCCGATCAGCTTGGCCATGCCGAAGTCCGCCACCTTGGGCACGAACTGGTCGCTCAGCAGAATGTTCTCGGGCTTGATGTCCAGATGAATTATGGCCTGCCCGATCTGCAGCTCTCCGTGGAGGTAGCTCAGCCCCTTGGCCGTGCCTCGAGCGATTTCCACCCTCGTCTGCCATGGCAGTCGCCGATCAGTGCGGAAAATCCATCTGTCCAGCGACCCATTGGGGACGTACTCGTACACGAGGAAAGGCTGATGGCTGCGCACACTGAATCCCCGCAGCGCCACCAGATTCGCGTGGTTGATGCTCCCCAGAGTCTTCATCTCGGCCTCGAAGTCCTTTGCGCCGCGCTGGCTGTCGACGAGCTTCTTCACCGCGATCTCGCTGCCGTCCCTGAGCGTGCCTTTGTACACGATCCCGTAAGCGCCGCGGCCGAGCTCGTCGCAGAATCCATTCGTGGCCTCGTGGAGCGCATCGTACGAGAAGCGCATGCCCATGACCTTGGCCGCGAGCGAGTCCCCGATTGACGGCAGGCTGAGCTCGAAGTCGTCGGCCGGGGGCTCCGTCAGCCGGGGCTTGGCCGCGAGCTTGCGCCTCCTTCGCGCCAGCACGTAGAAGAGCAGCCCCAGGAAGAGCACAAACGCGCTCCCGAAGGCGATTCCGGTGATTTCGCCCGCGCTCAGGCCCGAGCTCGCCCCGAAGCACGCCCCGAACTGGCACCCGGCGCCGCAGTAATCCACCGTGGAGCCGCAGAAGTTATACTGGCTGCAGCAGAGGCCTTCCGCGCATGGCTTCTGAGGGGGCCCGGCGGAGCAGCTCCCCTGGGCTCCGTTGGCGAGCGCACTACTGCAATTGCCATAGGCCTGCTGGCACCCTGTCCCGCAGTAATCAGCCGTGGTGCCGCAGAATCCCGCCGAGCTGCAGCACAGCGGGTCGGCGCAACTCAGGTTGCCCGCTGCCGATCCGCAGGCTCCTTCGCTGGCGGTCGCGCTGCTGCAGTTGCCATAGGCCGATTGGCAACCCGCTCCGCAGTATTCCGTCGTGGTGCCGCAGAAGCCCGCCGAGCTGCAGCACAGCGGGTCGGCGCAGCTCAGGTTGCCCGCTGCCAATCCGCAGGCTCCTTCGCTGGCGGTGGTGCTGCATTTGCCATAGGCCGATTGGCAACCCGCTCCGCAGTATTCCGTCGTGGTGCCGCAAAAGCCCGCCGAGCTGCAGCACTGCGGGTCGGCGCAAATCACGTTGCCCGCTGCCGATCCGCAGGCTCCGTCCTGCGCTCGGCCGAGCCGGAGCGAGGCGGCCAGCGCAATCCACAGCACGGCCAGCCCCGCGCTGCGTCGGGTATCCATCGTCGCCGCCCCCGAGCTCGAATCGACGAGTCTCGCTCCGCCTCGTCTACTATGGAGTGACAGAAGAACCCCCTCTCCCTCTCCCACCTTCGGCGAGAGATTTTGGGAAATCCGCGACAGGGATGGAACTGGGATTGAGATTTGGATTTGGAGACAGAAGACAAAGTCTACCTGCGAACGAAGACTAGAGATGGAACGGGGTCTGGACGAGAAAGTTGCGCCCCCGGGGTCGTGGGTCAGTGACCGTGTCCAGTTCCGAGCACATGACGATGATTGTGGTGAGGCCCGAGCTCAGTTTTGCCCCTCTCAGGAGCAGAGGTGCGCAGGATGGCGCCGGGCCATGGCCGCTGGACGAGCGGCGATGCATCAGGGCGAGAGAGGAAAGTCGGATCCGCAAGATTCAACGAACGCGGAGACGAGACCGCATCCGTCAAAGACGCCTGAAAGAGCGCGAGCCCCAGACGAAACGCTTTCCGTCATTTCTGCTCTGTCCTCGCGCTCGACGAAGACTCGCGCTCTCGGAGGTTGGTGGTGGAAGCCAGGAAGCCAGGAAGGTATCCAAATTCAAGACTGTTGAGAACCAAACTTTAATTTGGGATAATCGGAGATATTACCTCTTGAATCTAACATACTCATAGTATATACTTCAAACAATCTGCAAAACATCGCTGAATTAATAACCCGCATATTTTTGTGTGTTATACGTGAATAAATAAAGAAATATATATCACTAGCTAGGGCTACTTCGTTTTTATTCGGTCTCCAAAGTATATTTTCCAAAAAAATAATAATTTTTAAACACAAATTTGACGAGTGGTGGTATGTATTTCGACTGTAAAACTTCATTGATTGCGAAAACTGACACCATAGGAGAGAGTTTCAATGATCATAGACGTAGGATTTTCAGCAGGTCATGTCGAAGCTAATGTGAGATATTTTGGACGTATAGGATACGTGCTTCATTCATGGCTCTTTCGGATGTATTACAATGGTACTATTGTAAGCAACACTTTATCTTCAAAATGAAAGAAGTCATAATATATTTACAAGAAATATCAAGCAGCAATGCATACTAAAATGTAATTATTGATTGATTACAATAAACAAAGTTTTTAAATTAGCAAAAGGTTTATGAAATAAGGTACTTTTTCAAATGCTAAATAAGCTATCAGTTTCTCTTTATGCTTGTTTAAATTTTATTTTTCTTCTTCTAGATTAAATAAAAATTTATATTCCTTCTTAGTTGATAAAATAACTGAATTTATTCTCATGAATACATGATCTGACTGTTTTGAAAATTCTTGTATACATTACGACAAGTTTTGATTTACTTCGAAAATGATTTCACAACGTTTCAAAAATTTCAAAAATATTTATTTATAGGAAAATGAATTGTGAAGATTGGGATATCAATATTTTAATTTTGTGTGTGGATATAATACTGAATGCAAAGTGGCGACGCAAAGTGTTAAAAAATTTTTGCTAAATAAGTAAGGCAAGATGGAGATTCAGATTAAAAAACAATCTTTGATAGTGAAGATTGGATATTTATGATTTGTCTCATGATGTTAAGTTTTACGTAATACACGTTCATTTTGAAACTTTTAATATTGTCAATAACAGCTGATGGTAGTCACATTATATAGCTTTAGCTAACTAGAGAAACTATTTATATTTAAAAAGCTAAGGTAATTCACATTCAATCAATTCTGAACACAAAGTAATGAATCCAAAAAACCCAGATAAAACGCTGAACATGAAGTTCCGAAGCGGAATTGTTGAAAAGTATGGCAGTGCAAATGATGATACCAAATAATGATAGAAAAAGATCAAAAGAGAAAGGACAAAAAAAACAGTAATCAAATTACTAATACAAAAGCCTTGTGAAAAATGAAGAAGCTCCAAAGCCAAAAAAGCTGATTAAACTACCCAAGCCAAATTGCTCAAAACAATGTTCAAGCCGTAATGATAGAGTGAGGCTTTAGGAAAAAAAACCCAGTGAATTCTAATAACATTCTAAATATAGAAGAAAATTTCTTTCATTGTAATCTTTTGCTTATACTATTGGTATCAGCGAAGTATTTTTGTGAGGTTTTTCAAAGATTAAATACGATTATACATTTGTTTTGAACTATGTTAATCTACAAATTAAATTTGTTTGTAAAATGTGCATAAGAAAATTAGTTCACCAATACTACACAAGTAATATAAACCACCCCTATTAACTGTTGTATTGACAGTTTGTCAAGACTAGTTTCTACCTTCATCCTGAAGTGAGGTAATTAGGCCGATGGTGTCCTTCCTCCTCATATGTTTGAAGGGTGAAACTCAGATGCAATTTTTCCATCCTGCAACTAGATTATCCTTCTGTTAGCTAATTAATCTCGAACTTAGCCTTGGCTCCATTTAACTCTCTCATTCAAATCAATCGGACACTCGGGTGGATGCGAGAGATTTCAAATCAGTTCTTGGTCGTCGTCTTCGACAGTTGACGTTCAACAACTATAAGGATGGCTAGAGGCGAAACCAATATTCCCAAGAAGTGAAGCAAGGCCCGATAATTTCTTCTGTGAGTACAAGGGAGCGTTCCATACGACATTGGAAAACGGTCTGTCCAGATTCGGGATCCACGGAAAAGAAATCGAGTCTGGTTAGGCAACTTGAACACCAAAGAGCATGACAGGAAAATTCTACAGTTCTTAGGACACGAAGTTTCTGCAATTCTGAATTATTAATGCTCATTTGAATTTGCGAGTTCTCGTTAAGTATCTAAATCTTGTGCAAGTAGCAAATTTACTATTTTGTTTTCTGTCCCTCCCCGTAAACTTTTCTAGAAAAAAGATATGAAATTTTGCAGGGAGATATAGTAAGGGGAGGGACAAAATGACACGTTTTGCTTCCTAATCTCTTTCCACTTTCACAGTAATGATACGCACTCTGAACGTGTCCACTCAAATGTACAACACCGATTGAGAAACTATAAGCCCAACCAGGTTTCATACGGGCAAAATATAAATTGCTTTTCCTGCAAAATCTGACATCTGGACAACGTAGCAGCTACCTGTGACCCGACCTGGAGTAGGAGGTAAGGAGCTGTAGACCTGGGCACTTGGTCGACTAGTTCGGAACTCCGATTTTGTCGGTTACTACTACAAGTGCGCCATGGACTCCGCCTTCTCTGACAGCGGCTCGTTTGTCACTCCTCGTCGCTCCAGTCTGTCCGATGAGAATATTTTTTAAATGATGAAGTTTTTATTGTGGAATCGACTTTTGAAAGTTTTGAATAAATGAGTATGACAGCGATTTTGAGTTTTTCTGAAACTCCCGAATTTGGTTAGAAAATAATCGACTAATCGTTAGTCGAGTCGTGCCAAGATCTAAAGAGCTGGGGCTGTGGCAGAGGACCGCCGGGGTCATGTGGAAGTCACGTCCTCTCGGGGCGCGGAGTCTCTGGCCTGGGCTCGGAAGCGAGAGTAGTACTTCCCGCTCTCCGCAGTCGTGGGACAGCGTGCTTGAATGGTCCCAACGATCATCCGAGGTGAGCAGCCCTCTCTCTGCCATTCTTTGGGAGCTGTAAGGAGTACCTTTAAGACTGCAAATTGTGAGAGGGAATCATTTGATGTATATGAAGCTGGCACTTTCTCTGCTTTTTCTTTTTTGGAAGCTGTAAGGAGTACCTCTGGAAAGTCCAAAAGCATTGCGGCGTCTACGGCGTGTTACCGAGTACTTGCGGAAAAAATTTCCGCAGTGGAGGAGAAGACGATTGTCATGGATTTGCTATATACTTGAAGTGCGAAAATGACTTGCAGACCTGCAGCCTCTAGAGGATACCACAAGAGATACTATTGATATTTGTGGTATCCGATTCGTCCTCTAGAGGACGAATCGGATACCACAAAACCACAAATCTATCAATAGCTACTTTTTTCTTTCGAGAACATTGTTCAACAAGAACCGGAAACAATAACTCTGTTGTTTCCTATCTTGATCATCGAGTCAATCGAAGTTTTCCAAATAATAGCTTTGGACGACTTCGATTTCGTTGTCAATCAAGCTTGAATCTCGGTTCCAGTCCAGAGTCACAGAGCAAGTCGAAGAGTATGAGGTACCCCAACAAAAGTGCATATCTTCCCAAGATAGCTCCTGTTATCCCGTTAGAAAATTGAACACATCTGATTTGCTTAAAACATGAAACAGCAACCATGAAGCTGCAAAATACTCAGGTTTTCATATGGTTGCTGAACCTTTTGTTTAATGACCAGATGCTCTACACTTTTCACAAAAGTGTGTGATTGTATGAGGATGCATATATATATATATATATATATATATATTCTCTGTTGTAGCTTTATGTTCTGGAACTTGAATCCATTTTAGATGAACTATTGGCATGAGACACTTTGAATTTCATTTGAAAAGTGTTAGCATATGTGTTAAGTATTGGACTATATACTCTCTATTTGGTAATCTTCTTATTGTTGGTTCAACACTATAGTTAGAATTCATAGTAAGCTTCTTAGTATGACCCCTATTAGTTTAGGGTTAAGTTTCAAGAACCTACTAGTTTTTCGCTATATAAGTTTCATCTCTCATTAAGCATCTACAACGTTTATACTTCCTCACACTGAGATTTGTGAATACTCAGCTTGTTCAACATGATATTAGAGCTATACGCCTAGTATTGTATTCTTTCCTAGTTGCAATAACATATAACTACTAAAATAGAGCATAGTGGTAAAGATACGATTTCATGAGAAAAAAAACAACACCAAAGATTCAAGTAATGTCACGAATTAACATTCTATTGAAAAGTTTTACTTCTCATGCACATGTTACTCCTAGAAGCATCTGCAATTGCTAAATCCGAAGCAGAGTACTGCATCGGGTACCCAAACCCGAAACCCAAACTGAACCCGCCCGAACCGATGGGTATGGGTCGGGTTTGAACCAAGCTAGAAAGGTCCGATTCGGTTTCGGGTTGGACTTTTCTTAATATGGTTTAGAAATAGGGTTACGTTTAAAAATGGTTTTAGGGTTACTCAGTAAAGAGGTCGTGGAGTATTTTTTGACTTGACACAGTGCTAATCGCACTTGTTCTCCTCGTCCGTTACTCTTGAGGTTTGTCATAGATGACAATGACAATTGAGATGAAGTCCAAAGATATGCTCACGTTGAAGACAAAAATCGCCGCAGATTTGCAAAAAGAAGACGATCTTTATTATCGAGTGAAAAACCGTAAAGCGAGGGAAGGTGTCTGGACATCAATTTTGTTTGTTGCGATCAAGGAGACTGACGAACATCTGTGTTATAGTCATAATTCTTTTGTCTGCTGCAACAAATGTCTCACTATATATCAATA